GGGCAACCTCGGCGTGCTCCTGGGCGCTGGTGGCCAGAGCCTTCAGCCAGCCCTGCATTTCCTCCTGAAAAATAAAAAAATTGGGAAAAAATCATAAAAAAATGGGAAAAAGCAAAAAAAAACCAAAAAAAATCCGAAAAAACGGCGAAAAACGGCGAAGAAATGGGAAAAAAAAGTGAAAAAATGGAAAAAAAAGTGAAAAAATGGGATCAAAACATGAAAAAATGAGTCATAACCTAAAAAAAATGGGGTAAAACCTGAAAAAATGGGGTCAAAATCTGAAAAAATTGGGTCAAAATGTGAAAAAATGGGAAAAAAAGGGAAAAAAATGGGGTTAAAACCAAAAATCCCCAAAAATGGAGGTGGGAACCCAAAAAAATGGGGTTGGAGCCCCAAAAATTGGATCAAAACCTGAAAAAATGGGGTAAAAATGTGAAAAAATTGGGTCAAAAACAAAAAAAAAGGAAAAAATTGGGAAAAAATGCAGAAAAATTTGGAACAAATTGGGGAAAAATGGGGTAAAAATGGGAAAAAAATGGGTGAAAATGTGGAAAAAATGGGAACAAATTGGGAAAAAAAAGGGAAAAAATGGGAAAAAATGGGGGGAAAATTGGGGGGAAAATTAAGGGAAAAATTGGGAACAAATTGGGAAAGAATTGGGAACAAATTTGGAGCAAATTGGGAAAAAAATGGGGAAAAATTGGGGAAAAATGGGAAAAACTGGGAGAAAATGGGGAAAATTGGGAAAAAATGGGAAAAATTTGGTTTGGTGACATCTCAGGGGGGTTTGGGGACAAACCTCATCCTTGGCCTGCAGAAGGAATTCGCTGCCGTCGCCCGTCCTGTGGAAAAAAAACCAGGAGAGGACCTTGAGGAACTTCTGAGAAGGTCCAGAACCTTCTGAGGAGCTCCAGGAGCTTCTGAGGAGTTCCAGAACCTTCTGAGGAGCTCCAGGAGCTTCTGAGGAGTTCCAGAACCTTCTGAGGAGCTCCAGAAGACCTCCAGAACCTCCTGAGGACCAGGAGAGTTCCTCACCGCAGCTTGAAGACGTTCTTCTTCTTCTTGTAGTCGCTGGCCACCTCGGCGCTGGCGCGGTGGAGGCTCAGCAGCGGCTCCCTGGCGTGGGTGGCTCCGGCCGCCGGACCTTTGGCGTCCTTGTAGAAGCCCAGGTCACCTTTGGCCAGCACGCAGTAGAGATTGAGCCATGACCTGGTGGGACAACAGGTTGGGGCTCCAAACCTTGGAGAACCTCAAATCTTGGAGGAGCTCCAAGGTTTGATGGAGCTCCGAGCTTTGGTGGAGCTCAAAACCTTGGTGGAGCTTCAAGGTTTGGTGGAGCTCTGAGGTTTGATGGAGCTCTAAACCTTGGAGAACCTCAAATTGTGGTGGAGCTCCAACCATTGGAGAACCTCAAATCGTGGTGGAGCTCCAAAGTTTGGTGGAGCGCCGAGCTTTGGTGGAGCTCCGAGCTTTGGTGGAGCTCAAAACCTTGGTGGAGCTGCGGGTTTTGGGGCAGCATTGCCATTGGTGGAGCTCCGAGCTTTGGTGGAGCTCCAAACCTTGGTGGAGCTCGAAGGTTTGGTGGAGCTTAAATCCACCATATTTTGGTAGAGAACCTCAAATTTTGGTGGAGCTC